ACACTAAGAATGGTTTTACATTTTTAAATGGTTGGGAAAAAATCGAAAGAATTATAATATTTTGTGATGTGAAAAGTATATGAAATACAAATTTTAGTGTCCCTAAATAAAGTTTTATTGGAACACAACCACTCTCATTTGTTTATATACTATGACTTATCCACTCTACAATGGCAGAGTTGAATAGCTGCAACAGAGACTGTGTAGTCCTTAAAGCCTAAAATGTTTACTATCTGGCCCTTTACAGAAAAAGTCTGCCAACCCCTACTCTAGAGTGCTAGCTTCTGTCTGCTTTATACTGTAGCCACCACAGGATTTTCCCTACGAATGAAATGAATTTTTATGAGGCTAAGTGAATTGCCTAAGATCATGTGGCCATGTAAGAGGCGATGATTCAGGATAAAAGTTAGGACTTCAGACAGCAAAGCCCACAATCCCTGTACTATATCATTGATTTTGCCATCAGAGAGCTAATCTACATTCCTCCATAGAAAAAAGAGCCTGGTCATTTAAATGGGCATTTAATTTTTTAAATTAAAGTATAAACAAAAAGATAATTCTTTAACAAGCTACTTATATTATTTTCTTTGAACACTGACCATCATTTGTTCGGTTTTAGCCTAGAAACATATAATCTGATAGCATGTCTATACACAATTTGGGCATAATAAATATACACACACATTGACATGCATGCAATCCAACACACATTAAGGTGTGTAAACGCATTTAATTTACACACATATACCAGACAGATAGGTACACACTTACATATATATTTACATGTAAACACACTTGTAAATCTATGCATATATGCATGTAATATAGCATACACTAAATTTTGTATACATATTTAATTTACACACATATAACAGATAAATAGGTAATTTACATACATATTTACATGCAAACACACACATAAATGCACGCCGTATACACACAGTATAAGCTATTGTGGTGGGTCATAATGGAACCTGATTTTCCCCTCTCTAATGCCTTCCCTTGGTATGAGTCAGAATCGACTTGATGGCAATGGGTTTTTTTTTTTTAATGCCCTTCCTGTGGCGAAGTGATTAAGAGACACAGCTACTAACAGAAAGGTTGGCAGTTCAAATCTAACAGCTGCTCTTTGGAAACCCTATGGGGGCAGCTCTACTCTGTCCTACAGGGTAGCTATGAGTCGGAATCCACTGAATGGCAGTGGGTTTTGTTTTGTTTTAGTGCCTTCCCTGAATCAACTACCTCAACCTCCTAACACGGAAATAGAAATTTTTTTCTAGCTGCAAGGTTTTCACTCATAAATAATCTGCATAAAGAAAAATATGCACATTCGTGTGTACATATTACTTTAATGTATACATAGCATACTTCATTCTCAAAAAAGGTCACGAGAAATACAAAATAGATAAAGAAGTATTACCAGAGTAAATAATTGGATCTCTTCCATTGGTTCTATCTATCGAAACAACTTAATAAGACATAACTCTCAATTTGTCTGCATTACAACATCCCAATCAAGCGACTTCTTTAGCCAGACTTGACAGTCTGTTACCTAATTAAATTCATAAAATGCTCAAGGAAAAGGTGTCTTGAGAAACGCTCAATTACTGCTGTATCACACTTTGCTTCCAAAACAAGTGTGCTTTTCAAGGGCACCAAATAATTTTAATTTGACATAATCCTTGGATGTTTCATGTTTTAAGAAAAGAACTAAAGCTGAAGAGAGTAATTAAATCCAGATCCCAACAGTCAACATATCTGGGGCTCAAGACGCTCAGTCTGCATGTGCTGTGGTTTCCAGTGAAACACCAAAGTGAGGTAATTTTTTATTCTTATTATTTTCATGACTCTTGCAAAACCTAGCCAGGGTAAAAAATTTTTGTTTTTTCATTTTTCTCATTAAATAGATTATGCACAGTACAAGTTATCAATGTCTTGTGCTGAAAAGAGTGCCCTATAGTCACTTTTTATAAGTAATAAGAGAGATAAAACTCCTGGTAAATTGTGGATAATCTAAACATCTCAACTTAATCAGCTTATTTTACTTCCTTCTCCTCTCTTATACAAATTCAGATAAAGAACTCTGAAATTGGCTCATGGGTCACTTTATTCTCCCCCTTCTTTGTCCATTTTCTTTGGGGACTTAATAATTCATTGCCTTGGAGGAGTCAAGGAGGAGAAAGATTACCACAGGCCCAGAAGTGTGAACCTTGGAAGAGGCAAAACTGGTTAAAATCACAACATGCACAGACTTTTCTCTCTCACTCTTTCCCTCTTACTTTTTCTCTATCTCTATCTCTGTCTCCCCAAAAGCAGGGAGGAGAAAAAGAGATGATGAAAAAGGAAACTTTTCATGAACTTGAACAGAGCAGTTGATCTTGTGCAACTAAGATTAAATAATTCTGTATTTCCATGATCCTGAATTCCCTTCTTTTATATTTTCTCTTTTAGATCACTGAAAATAAATACATACCAATTTTCTAAAGCTATGCCAGGATTCAGATAGCTGTTTGCATATTTGGTATATGAATAAATACTTTCCTCTAATATCTGAGAGCACTTAAAAATAAGTATAATTTTCAGACTCCAAAGACTGAAAAGAAAAATGCCTGGAACTCATAGAATCAAAGAAAAATGGCAGAAAACACTGGCTTTCTGATTCTTAGCCTCAGGCTTTGGTCAACACTCTCTCATCCCAAGGAGCATTTAAAATTTAGTAAGTGACAGATATTAAGAGGCTATTTCATCACCATGGTAGGTTTCAATACTTTGAAATGATTTGTAGTTATAAACATATTGATCAAATACAACTGATCACCATGTAAGAAGTATAACTCAATATTAGAAATATATTTTAACTGTCTTATTTTAATAATCTTTGGTCTACCACCTTGCCAAAAAGCCTGACAAGATCATATTCATGAATAAACCTTTGTTTAATTCTCAAAAGAATGCAATAGGTAAATCATCATGGTTTTACCAGGAACCTTCTGACTTTTTCATCTAGTAGGTTACATAAATCTAAATATTTTGTAACTCATTTTGTGATTGCAGAGTTAAATCTTGTCTAGTATGGAAGCTTCTAGTCTTCTCTGGGTCTTTGTTTTGAAGGAGAATGTTTGTTTTTTGTTAAACTCTTTCTACAACTGAATATACTGCTAGGCAGATTCCTTAGGTGCTTGTTAGAACCTTAGCACCCAGGGTCTAAAATTGTGGGAAATTGACATTGCTTGACACTAATGCCTTGTAAGGAGATCTCTTCAAGATGTTAAATTTTCCCCTTAAGTACCATTACATTTCCCAGACACAATGAAATACAGTAAAAATAATTCGAAAACACTTTTCTTCCCAGTAAGCCATGCTGTCAATCAACCATTTGGAACAGCAATTCTATATTTCCACCCTTCATTTCTATAAAACTGTGGTTACATTAATTTACTGAGAAGGTATAGGACTTTGGACCAACTTAAGCCCTCTAGGTCTTAGTTTCCTTACCTGTAAAAAGTAGGTAGTTGGTTTAGATGGGTCTAGGAGTCCCTGGGTGGTACAAATGGTTAACACACTTAGCTGCTAATGGAAAGGGTGGAGGTTTGAGTCTATCCAGAGGCACCTCAGAAGAAAGGCTACTTCTGAAAAATTAGCCATTGAAAACCCTGTGGAGCACACTTCTACTCCGTCACATATGGGGTCACCACAAATCAGAGTCAACTCTACTTCAGCTGGTAGTTAGATGGTTCTAAGGTTCCTTTAGCTCCAGAATTCTAGAATTCTAAGCTAAGGTCTAGAGCACCGTTTGATCTGACACCATCTTCAGCCCACCAGTTCCTGTGGGCAGTAATCAAGAATTAATTCAATCTATCCACAATACCCTGGGTATCCCCATGCACACCACTGTACTAGAGTATCCTATAGGATTCATTTGCACCCACTGACTCCCTACCTAGCATCTGCCTTCTCTCTGATGTGCAGTATTTTAACACTCTCGTGTTAGTCATGTTGGAACTTCTTATAAAGTTCACCTCAAATTCATGGAAGACAACTTCAGATTTGCCATGCTCTGTGGACTTCTCAGCTACCATTTGGATAATCTCCCTACTTGTGGGATAAATCCTTTTATCTCAGTAAGAGAGCTTATTTTTTCAAGTTTAGCCCCAGCTTTTCCCAGTTTTGAACTCCCAGGACACATTTGTCTAGAACTTCCAATGTGTTTAATGGTTTCCGTATTCTTAGATTATTGGTTCCCTTTAAAAAATCTCCTTCTATGTTTTTACTAATAAGTAACCACATTTTGTCCTAGTTCAATACATGCATGACACATGATTTTGCTTTTTCTTCTTTTAATATACCCAAGAAAAACGAAAACGTATGTCCATACAAAAACATTGAGCTGCTTAATGTTGTGATAAACACTATGTTGTGGCTGATGCTCAATAGCTCCTTTATGACTTCCTGAACATCACTCAAAGCCAGGTCTAGGAAATTTACCTTTCTCATGAGTTCTTGAAATACCAATTGATGACATAATTCAATTACTTAACTCATGCTTTCTTTTCTAGTAAAATATGCTACCAACTATGTTTGCGTAATTTAAGTTCCTAACTGTTAGTATTTGGTATAATTTTCAAACTCCCCCAATTTTCATGGTTAGATTATATACTATTTCTATCTACAGAGTCCTTTCTTTATATGAGAAGGCTTTTTACCACAATGAAGCTAGTCACTCACCATATAAAATGTCTACCTGTCCCTTTTATCCTATAGAGTTTGCCATCTGGAAGGGAGAGCACAGACAAGGAAGATGGGAAAACATATGCTCTCAGTTACCTTAGGCTGTGGAGATCTGAAAGGAGATCTAAGTAAGGGTCAGGGTTGATCTTAGCTCAACCAAGAACACATAAGCGTTGTTACATTTCCAGTATACGTCTTTTTTCTACTGTGGCCTATAATTTGTGCTTAATTTTCTATCTTAATTCTTCAACAGAAGATGTTAATTATCTTACCTGAATTCCCACATCAGTGATTTTATAACACTCGGATAGAGAAAGTTCCTTTAATTTTTTATGTCTGGAAAGTATCATCAAACCCTAAAAATATTTAATGTAAAGATTATTTTATGATTATGATTCAATATGGAAAGTGTATTTCTAATAACTATTTATGCAAATTTAAAAGTTTAGCTTGTATCTTATATTTCCTTATACTTAATAAAACATAAAATCACTTTGATTAGGTAATGTCATGAAATAGAATTTTCAGGTTTCAGTAAGTGATACAGAATCCCAGAGCCAGAAAACTCCTCAGGTTATTATCTTCCCATTTGTTTCCAGGTAAATGTTATCTGAATCAATGTAAACAAATCTTAAAGATCTCCAGACCTAACCTACAGCTTTATTTTGAAGATACTTCATGTGGCTCATGAGTCTATTTGCCAATAAATCTAAAAAATAATTTCCACAAAAATCTAAAACTCTTTAGCTCATTTTATTGTGTTTAATTCCTCGAAGAGAGAAATAATAGATCTTCATATAGAGGCCTATATGCAAATAATCGTTCACCAACAGCACACTTTTTTTTTTCAGATTAGAAACTTTGTTTCTTTTCATTAAAAAAAAAATTGCACTTTTAGCCTTTAAAAATCTTTGTGTGATTTTACTGTCTTGTTTCTTTGTCCTTTTCTCCCTACACACACAATACTCATATAAGGAATTGATGACTGTGCCTTATGGATGCCATCCTCCTGTTTTGCATTCAATATCATATTCCATGTATAATTCCATAAGATGTGCTTCCTAGACTGGCTCCCAGAGCTGACTCACTGGAAAAATGCCAGAAATGGCATAAGGATTTGTACTTATTGCATTTTATTTACAGGACTGGTTTACATTTTACTCATCTTAAATACATTTGACCCATAGTTGAAAATGGGTTGTACAAAATTAGATCCTGTTGTTTTTTTTTCCCCCGATGCACAGATTAGGCACAGATCCACCCTTTCTATTTTCAAAAGAAATCCATATCAGGGGAAAATGTGCTTGACTTAAGCCACTGTTTAAACTGTGATTTCTAATTTTGCTTAATGATTTTGCACACTACCCAAAAATAAAATCATTCCGTTCATTCTTTTAATTTTATTGTGAATGTGAATTTGTTTGCTAGGAACACATCATGTTTTCTGCCTCTTTATTTCAAACCAAAGAATGACCAAACCCTGTGAAGCTATTGCATGTGTCTGGGTTCCAGATGTCACTGCTATTTTGCTTATGTTAGAATAATTGGAAGAGTTTAGATATTTATCTAAAAGAAACCAAACTATCTGAACAAAAACATCAAGTCAGAGTTGCTGAGTTTGTCTCTTTGCCTTATGCTTGACAATAGCTGAGTATGTTTTATTCTCCTATGGGGAATTTGTCCTATGAAACGCCCTCTGAAGTTTTCGCTTAGATTTCACTTTTATGTAGCCAAGTCAGAATTTTCTTAATACGAGCTGTAAATGCGGTGTAGTTCCTAAGTATGACAGCCCTGGTGGCACAGTAGTTAAGAGCTACGGCTGCTAACCAAAAGGTTGGCAGTTCAAATCCACCAGCCGCTCACTGGAAACCCTATGGAGCAGTTCCAGTCTGTCCTATAGGGTCACTATGAGTCGGAATCAACTTGACAACAACAGGTTTGGTTTTTTTTTGGTTTCCTGAGTATGACATTTAACAGCCTATATTCTCTTTGCCAATTTATTCAAAACTAATATATTAAAATGGAATACTATGTTTCATCACTATAATTGTTCATTGAAACTTATGGCCTTGAAATTGAATTGATCTCATGATTAATGGAGAAAAAGATGAAGTTTTCAGTGATTTCATTCTGCTTGGATCAACAATCAATATCCATGGAAACAGCAGTCAAGAAATAAAATGATGTATTGCATTGGGAAAATCTTCTGTAAAAAACTTGTTTAATGTTTTAAAAAAAGCAAAAATGTCACTTTGACAACTAAGGTACCCCGACCCAAGTCATGTTTTTTTCAATCACCTCATATTCATGGGAAACCTGGACAATGAAAAAGGAAAACAGAAGAAAAACTGATGCATTTGAATCATGGCGTTAGCAAAGAATATTGAATATACTGTTGGCTGACAGAAGAATGAACAAATCAGTCTTCGAAGAAATACAACCAGAATGCTCCTTAGAAATGAGGATGGCAATGCTTTGGCTCACTTACTTTAGACGTGTCATCTGGAAGGATCAATTTCTAGAAAGGACATCACGATTAGTAAGTAGAGGATCAGCAGAAATGAGGGAATCCCTCAATGAGATGTACTGACACAACTGTCACAACAATGGACTCTAACATACCAACAATCATGAAGATGGCATGAAACCACACAATGTTTCAGTCAGTTATACACAAGGTCGCCATGAGTTGGAGCCAACTCAACAGCAACTAACACCAACACCAACAATGGGATTCCTGATTTATATGAGTATTTTTCTTTGTTATCGTGCTATCACTTGCATTACTTGCATGTCTGTCAACAAAATGCTAGTAGGGGCATTTCTGTTCATATCAGCAAGTATTTTTATTGGATGCGTTGCAGGAGGTAGAATTCTATATTAAGAGCATGTTTCTTTGAAATTTAGATGAATATTCCCAAGTTATCCTTCAAAGTTATTCTTCAAAAGGACATCGGTCATTTACTCTCACTACAAGCAGGTATGAAATGGCTTCTTTTTTTTACACAAGGGACAATATTTGGCTATTTTTTATTCCAAATTGATGGGCATACTAAAAAAGTGTCTCATCTCTATTGTAATCTACTTTACACTCACACATTTGAGATCGAGTACCTAAAATGGCCACTTACATTTCTTTTACTGTGAAATATTTTCATGCACCATTTGTCTTATTGGGCTCTATTTTATTGTGATTGAGAGGAATTCTTTATAGATTTTATATGAGCATCAACTTCTCCCATATCATCCTAGCATACTGATGCCTGCTCATACATCCAAGAAGTGATCTGTCCTGTATCCTGTTCTCACAGCTCGGCCACCTGTCAAAACACCTGACATGAGGTCCATCTACCTGACACAGCAAGTTCTTCTCAGTTCATGGATAAAACAAAGGAGAGGAAGTGGACATCACTGACTTCTCCCAGCCAGCATCCAAGCACTTTGGCTAAGACTCTACCTTCACTGTCAAGTAAGCATCCAACAGGCCTGATGTTTGCTTCTATGTTTCACAGCCTACCCCAAGATACTTATCCTAAGCAATGTCCTCAAACCTCAGGCACAAGCCAAATATCCTGATATGGACTCCACACCCAGCCTGGAGCCTACCACAAATAAATATGGCCAAGACTCTAATTCAGCATCCAGGTACCAGGGAAAAAGTCCTCCTAGGTCCCCATCCAGACTTGAAGAATCCCCAAAGGAAATCAGAACTCAGCCCTTCCTGGCCCTTAGTAGAGCATTCAGAGACATTATGTACAGGCTGTTTAGCACGCCCCCTCCCCACTCCAGTAAAACTGGACTAGGATCCAAACAGGCAACCAAGTAACCATGATGACACTGTGATAGTGTCAAGTATTGCCCTTCAGCACACAACAAAACTTGCCTGATCCCTCTCCAGGCCTATACCATCCCCCAAACCCATCTGTCAGCCCTGTTCCTGGTCAGCCCCTCATAATTACCTTTCCAAGATTGGACAATGGATAGTACAGCTTCAGGTTCAGAATATCTTCCTAATTCCATCTTCCTGATAAGCCTGCACCTCCTGCTCAGAGCCCTCACATCCTCATTGGAGCCCGAGGGACACTGTTGCCGTGTCCCTGCGAGTATTCTCCTCCTCTGAGGAGAGTGTCTGAGAACGAGACTCCCCATAGCAGGGAAGACTCGGCCTCTAGATTCACACGACTCACAGGTGACTGATGGACCGAGGAAGAGAACGATGGATAGAGCTTTTCCAGCTGTGGTGCATGTGCAAATGGTGGAACCCCTGATTATATACTGGGGATCGGCAGACAGAACCTGACTATTTCAATTATGCAATTACAGTTGTATTTAAAATGGAGCTTATTAAACTATCATATAAAATGCTTTTTTAAAAAATTGATCAACATCATCAGTCCTTAGGGAAACACTAACCAAAACCACAATGAGATACCACTTCACACGCACTAAGATGGCTATAATAAAAAAGACATAATAACAAGTGTTAGTGCAGACATGAAGAAATTGGAAGCCTCATACGTTGCTGGTAGGAATGTAAAACGGTATAGCCGCTTTGGAAAAGAGTCTAGCAGTACCTCAAAAAGTTAAACACAGAGTTTCCATATGACCCAGCAACTCCACTCCTAGGTATATACCCAAGAGAAATGAAAACCTATGCCCATACAAAAACTGGTAAACAAATGTTCACATCAGCGTTATTCACAATAGCCAAAAACGTGGAAACAACCCAAAAGTCCATCAGCTGATGAATAGATAAATAAAATGTCGTATGTCCATACTCCCTTCAACATGATTCATTCTTTAACAGCTTTTTAATCCAGAAGCATTTCAGATTAGTGATTTAAAGAACAATCATAGCAAGCTAGGTAAATACTCCACTTGGCCCTGTGAGGTTCATAAACGCTCCAAATGAGGAGGTGTTCTCTCAAACAAGTACTGGTTCCAGCACTTTACAGACTTTCTTTATAACTTTAAAAGGTCTTAAATCTCAGGTCTGGTCAAGATCCATTCATTCTTAATTCATCTTAATTAAGCTGATAAATATTTAATTAGCATCTACTACACTGACCAGGCTCTGGGACAGGGAGTATCAAGGTCATTGAGATGTTTGCTCTCAAGGAGCCCACAGTCTGGCATGGAACACAGGCATATACAACGGATCATTACAATCCAGTGAAAGGTAAGTACTGTGCACAATGGTGGCACCAAAGAAAGATGGTGGGCCAGCTACCGTGGATTAGAGAAGACCACATGGAAGAGGTTCGTGAAAGGGGAAGTGTTAGCTGCCAGGAAAACTATAGAGGGAAGGACATTCTAGGCAGAAGGAACAGAATGTGCAAAGGCATAAAAGAATGAA